CCCTCCAAGATGGCCCCAAAAGCGCCCCGAAGGCTCCCCATAGCGCTCCAAGAGCGCCCCAAGACGCGCTCAGGACGCCCCAAGAAGCGCCCAATGGCCTCTCAACAAACCCCCAAAAGGCTCCTTCTTCTCCTCCTCCTGCTCCGATTCCTCTTCCTTCGTCCTCTTGGGGCTTGACGGTTTCTCCGGCCTTTTGTTTCTCCACATGCTCCGCCACTTCTTTGATCAGGGCAACTCGTAGGGTTATCGTCACTCGATGGGCTTCTCGACTTTTTCATCCTATGCCCTTCCGAGGCCCCAAGCTCGTTCCATAAATCCAACAGACGGCTTCAAGAGAAACTCAAGAGAGCTCCAAGACGGCCCCACCTGGGGGCGGGGCGACGACGACGACCAAGGCGGCGGCGGCAGCGATAACGACGCCGACGACGGCCCGACGACGACGACCCGGCCAAACCATGCGCATGCTCTAACAGAGCCTGGAGCGACCATTTAAAATGTTTTGTTGTGGCCTTGCGCCGGCCGTTTTTTGAAAGCCCCAGGGACGTCCGCGGACTCTCCAAGGCTTTCTAAACATAACCCCGCTGACAATGGCTATCAGCTAAACTTGCAGGGACGACGTCGAAGACGAAGGCGGAAGCGGCGACGATAATGGCGACGGCGACCCTGACGATTTGTATGTCCTCATCTCCGCCGCTCACGGCTTACTCAGGCTTACTCGGCAGCCTGGCATACGGCGCCGAGAACTTGCTCAGAGAACTGCGCAGAGCGCGTTTCATTACCTCCGATGGATGCGTCTGGAAGTCACCGCGCCGTGCGCGCAACGGAAATGTCCCGAATTGGGCCAGGTGCGAACGCCGCGTCAAGGCCGAGAAACATAGAACGCCTCGCCGCGCCGAGCGCGCATGGCAGTGGCTCCAGACTCCAGACGCACCAACGCGCGAACGTCGCACTACGGGCAGCGCGTGATCGGAACACTCGCTGCTCCAAACTCAGAGAGAGACAGGCGCTCGCGCCAGAGAACCGAAACGTCTACCGTCTGTAGAGGCGTCCACCGTCTGTAGACACTGCGCAGAGCGCGCCTCGCTGTGCCTCAGAACTGCGCCGAGCGCGAAAATTGCGTAAAAACGTTGAGAGGGTTCCATGGATGCCGCGCGCCATCCTCTAGGCGCCCCGCCCCCAGGCCTTTCTCCACCAGGCGGGCTGCGGATTCAGATCGTCCAGGAACTTTCGCTCCTCGGCGGTTATCCCTGTGTCGCTGCCCGGCCAGCGCTTCTCGTGATACACGACCGGGGCCAACGGGCACTTCAATTGGTGGATGGGGCAAAAGCACTTACAGAGACGCTTGCTGCCCTTCAACTTCCCACGCAGTTCTTTCACCCGCCTCTCCGCTGCCGCGGCGCACTCTTTGCACTCGAGTTTATGCCGTGAATGGTAGTTGTAATTGCTGAGCATCATCGCATCGAACTTCTTGGCCCCGAACTGGCCCTTGCACCTCTGGCATGTGTACGTCTCCACGTCGTCTGGGTGGTAGCCCAGACTGCGGCAGGGCTTGCAGACGAGAACTGTCTGATGATTGCTATGGTTTTTGCGTTCGCTCTTGGACCAGCTGCTGAGTCCCACCAGCCCTCTGGGCGTAGGTGGTCTAGAGCAGATCCTCTTCCACCCCTCCCTCTTCCCCCTTGGGGAGGGGTTTACCCCTCCCCCTACCCCCTCCCCTGGACCTGGACGGGGGGGGCCGCGGGTAGTTAGAGCGTCCCAGATGGCCCAAGACGGCTCCAAGAGCGCCTCAGAGAACCCAAGATGAGCTCCAAGATGGCTCAAGATAGCGCAAGATCGCTCGAGATGGCTCCTAAGATGGTTCCAAGAAGCCCAAAGACGGCCCCAAGATAACTCCAAGTCCAAACAGCTCCCCAAGGAGGCCCCGAAGAGGCCAAAATCGTCCCAAAACCTAAGGAAAATCAATGATTTTTGCTTTCTCGCCTTTTCGCTTCCGATGGCCATCCGAGGCCTGGAGATGGTTCCAAGATGGCCCAAGAGGGCCCCAAGAGAGCCCCAAAAGAGCCCCAAGACGGCCCCAAGAGCGCCCAAGAGCACTCCAAGAGCGTTCCAAGAGGGGTCCAAGAGGCGATTTTAGGGGCTTCCGAGGGGGGGCGCTAATTAAACCCCCCCTCTTGTTTGATCGATCTCCTCCAAGATGGCCCCAAGAAGCGCCCAGGAAGCCCCAAGAGGTCCCAAGATGGCCCCAAAATGGCCCCAAGAGGCCCCCAAGAGGCCCCCCGGAGGCCCCCAAGAGACCCCCAAGAGGCCCCAAGAGCCCCCCCAGATGCACCCAAGATGCTCCAAGAGGCCTCGGCGAGAATGCCTAATCATTGATTCTACACAGGTTTTAGCCACATGGAGGCCTCTTGGGGGGGGGCACGGATTAAGATGACTCCAAGAGCGTCTGGGAGAGCCCAAAATGACCTCCAAGATGGCTCAAGATATCCCAAGATGTCTCATAATGGCTTCCTCTGTGTGCTGCCCACTTCTCTGATCGAGGCAATTCCTCTGGGCATCGTTTCTGGATGGGCTGGTGGGGATTCGCGAAGCGACAACAATTTAACTGAAAGCACACAATGTGCGCTAGGGGGGATCAGCAATAATTGTTCTTTAGGGATGAGAATTCAACAACACACAAATTTAGACTGCTCGCTCGTATCGGCTCGCGTGCTATTCAACACGTGTATCCCAACCCTCGATACCCGCCATCTTCGTCTTCGATCGTAGCCCTGAGGGAAGTATATCTTCCTTATCTCCCACGTGTACTTGGTGCAGTCTCTAAATCAAGGGAAGAGAGAACGGATGGGAGGGGGAGGGAGAAGGATGGAACACGAGGGAGATCTGCAGGAGGATGGTTAGGAGCAGGACAACAAGCGGCAGAACCAGACGGGCGAGTCGGGCGGGCGGACCCTAACGTGCAGGTCGGGCGGGCGGGTCAAGACGGCCAAATCGAGCGAGCGAGTCGCTGAAGCGTCAATCCATCATGAAGAAAGTTCGAGCGGTAGCGCGATTCCCAAGTAAATTGCTAGGAAATTCACTCGCGGGGGCCACGCGAAAGCGCGATTCCTGCATACATTATGAGGAAGTCCCGCGCGAGAGCGCGTTTCTCAAATAATTTGTGAGGAGGTGTCTGGCGGGAGCCGTTGTTGTTGTAAACTGGGAGCCAGGGAGCCAGTTTGAGCACCAAGACTTTCCCTTGTACAAGACAGGGTTCGAGCCCCTTGAGGAGAATTTGACTTGAAAAGCGTGATGTGCACCGGGCAAGGCTGATCAACAATAACTGCTCTTTATAAATGAAATGTCCGTGATTAAAAATCATTCGCCCTGACTGCGTACCATTCAGCACGTATATCCGAAACTTTCGATACCCGCCCTCTTCGTCTTCGATCGTACTCCCCTTGGGGGTATATCTTCTTTACCTGCCACGTGTACTTGGTGCAGCCCCTACAACAAGGGAAGAGAGGACGGATGGAAGGCGGAGGGAAAGGATGGAGAACAAGAGAGATTAGCAGGAGAGGGGCTAGGAATAGAAAACACATGGCAGAACGAGAAAGGCTGATTGGGCGGGTGAACCCTAACGGGCGGGTCGGGAAGGCGGGCCCAGGCGGCCAGGTCGAGCAGGCGGGTTGCTGAAGCGTGAGTCCTGCATGAATCGCGAGGTCTTGAGCGATAGCGCGATTCCAAGGTAAATCGTCAGAAAAATAAAAGTGAGAGCGTGATTCCTGAGCGTCCAGAGCGCGGCGTCTGAATACATTGCGAGGAAAGACCACGCGAGAGCGCGATTCCTGCATACATTATGGGGAAGTTCCGCGCGAGAGCGCGATTCTCAATTTTTTTTGTGAGGAGGTGTCAGGCGGGAGCCGTTGTTGTTGTAAACCGGGGGCCAGGGGGCCGGTCTGAGGAGGAAGACTCCCTTGCACAAGACAGGGTGCGAGCTCCTGGAGGAAAACTTTATTTGAAAACCAGAATGTGCACCGTGCAGAGGGAATGAACTAGACTTATTCTTTCAAAGTGAGAGCTCAACAACAGCAACAACACAACAACAATCCGCACCGCGGAACCTCACTTCAGCCACACGCCCAGGGACAGTGAATGGCCGTTCGGCCCCCTCGCCCTGATATTTATATGTATTGAGAAAGATATACATACAGACATAACAGAGAGAGAAAGAGAAACATAAACAACGGAGAGCGAGAGAGAGATAGAGAAAGCGAGAGAGGGAGAGAGAGGAGAGAGAGGAATATGCCAAGCTGCGTGCGCTCGCGCCACATATAACATTACACCCATCCCACCCATCCCTTCCCATTGCGCTGATGATTTATGTCCGCCGACTGCCGATGCGAGTCACACCAGGCCTGGAACTCCAAAAAGGACCTCATCATGTTACGCGCAATCGTAAGAAAGGGAGCTGCGTACATTGGAGGAGGAGGTGGTGGATGAGCAAGAGGAGGAGGGGGAAAGAGGGAGGACGAGAACGAACAGCAGCAACAAGAGCCGGACCAGAAGGAGTAAGAGGACCAGGAGGACCAGGGGCAGACAGAGGGGCAAGGAGGGGGGCGACAACGATGAGGAAGGACTCGGGTCCCGAAAAGTAGCCCGCTCTGGGTCGAGAGCTCCATCCTGGACGACGGGAGCACAGCGCCGATCCAAAGATGAGGCCCACGCTGTGGCGGGAGCACCACGCTGAAGCACCGAGAAAGTTCCGGTGGGGAACCACAACACAGGAAAAAGGCCATGCCATGAAAGCCTGCGCAGAAGACGGATGCACGGAGGGGGCGTGGCGCCTCTGGGGCGCAGTCGGGGGCGAGGAGCGCAACACGCATTCAGTCTGAGCCATTGCGGAGGCGAGGGGCGAGGAGGAAGGCAGGAGGAGGAGGAGGAGGAGGAGGAGAAGGACGAGGAGGAGGAGGACGAAGGGAGGAGCGCGAGCAGGGCGGGGACGGGGAGGAGGCGGCATCCACCGCTGGCGGGCTCAGACCGAAGAGCAAGTTCATGAGCGGGAAGATATTGAAAAGGAACTGGAAGGAGCTGGCTCGCCTGGACCTCAGAGGGCGGGATCGCCAGACGTTGCCCTCAACACCCATTGCTTCCATTCACCCCAATGGGTACACAATGCGGAGTTCGAGTAGAAGGTGGGTCACTGCGCAAGGAACGAAACTGAAACGATCGTTGCTGATATAACCTGCAACCCTGCGATGTCACTCCAATTGGTCTCGGCCCTGCTTTGCATTGTGTGCTGTATGGCTCACGTGTCGAATGAACACTGGCTATTGGCTCGCAAGAGGCTACAAAACGGGCAACTGCTATATCGCACACACACACACCACTCCGACTAACCACCCCGGGACACGCGCCGAGGATGTGACCCCGATGCTACCTCTCCGACGGAAACAACCGACTGAAACTGATGCCCTTCTTCTCTTCTATCATCCAACGTCGCGTTCTGGCTCATCTTGGCGACCTCCTCAATCGTCCCGGCTTCTCCTACTTGTTGCCAATCCTCTGCTTTATTTTCGAAAACTGAAATATCCGCCTCCTTGCTTTGTGCACGTGGAGGCGTGGAAGACTGCCAAGAGCTGTCTGGTAGGATTTTTATATTCTAATTTGGGGACCCTCCCCTCTACTCGCATTCCCTGCATGCATCGCCCCCCTCTCCCGAAACTCCCTTGGCCACGATCCCTACTAAAAACAAGTGATCCGAGTCCCGAGATTCTAAGACAGCCCAGGCAAGCAACCAAAGCCACCTAGATGGCCCACGATGCTTGGAAGACGGCCTTAAATGGCCCCGAAGGCGGCCCTAGCTTTAGGTCGGGCGTGTCCTCCTACAAGCGGATTGCGGAAGAACAATTAAGAATAGTCAAAATATGATCAAGAAATAAAAAGAGCATGACAAATCGTCATAATACAATTTGTTCACTATTATTGTATATTCTTCCTGTAGAGGGACATGCCAGACTTAAGGGAGAGCGCGCCCACAGCGCCTGAGCAAAGGGGGGTGGTCCCCCCTTAGCTACCCCCCCCTCCCTTCCACCTCCCCTGCTGGAAGCTCCCACCCTCTCCCCCCCTTTTTCGCCTCCCCCCTCAAGCTACCCCCCCCTCCCCCCCTTTCCTCAAGCAACTTCGGCCCAGGCTTCTTGCCCAGGCCACTCCAGGACCTCCCCGCGGTGCTTGAGGGATGCTGTCGCGGCTGTCGCCTGTTTGACCGCTTCTGACATCAACGAACACTGGAGTTTAGTTGTGCTACGGGATGGGTGCCGAAGCGTGGCGCCCAAGGCTCACCCCACGAGAGCGCAAAGCCCGCCGGGCTTGGGCACAGTGGTCGGCTGAACAAGCCATCCACCGCCTGACCCGCGAGGTGGGGCAGCTCCGCAAGATGCAGCATAGTAGACAGTGGCAGCCTCGGGAGGACTTGGCATGGACGTGGGGGCTGGAAGAGCAGTGGCTACAACCGCCACGGCATTGCGAGATGCGCGAGGCGAAGTTGGAGCCCAACTCTACGAGCCAAGCCCATGATCCAGCCAACGTGTGCGAGAAGGAAGGCGAAGCTAGAGCCCAATGTGATCACCTACACTTCTGGGATCAGTGCAAGATGGCGGAAGGCGAAGTCGGAGCCCGACGTGATCATTTGCAATCCTGGGATCAGGGCATGTCGTGGCGGGATGTGGTGAAGTCGCAACCTGACGTCGCCAATGGCCCCCGCACGGTGTATTCGGAGCCATCCCAGACCTTTCTTTGCGAGAAGCGGACGGCGCAGGTGGAACCCGACACTACTTGCCTAGCCCCCGATCAAGCAAAAGTGTGCGAGATGACGGACAGCGAAGTTAGAGCCCGACGTGATCATTTGCAATACTGGGATCAGGGCATGTATGTGGCGAAGTCGCAACCCGACGTCGCCAGTGACCCTCGCACGGTGTACTCGGAGTCATCCCAAGCACTTCATTGCGAGAAGCGTACAACGAAGTTGGAGCCCGACATTACTAGCCTAGCTCCCGATCCAGCCAAAGTGTACGAGATGATGAAGGGCGAAGTTAGAGCCCGACAGGATCACCTGCAATTCCGCCATCAGGGCATTTCTGGGGCGAAGTCGCCGCCCGACGTCGCCAATGACTTTCGCACGGTGTATTCGGAGCCACTCCAGGCACGTCACTGCGAGAAGCGGAAGGCGAAGTTGGAGCCCGACACTACTAGCCTAACCCCTGGTCCAGCCGACGCGTGCGAAAAGAGGGAAGGCGAAGGTAGAGCTCGACGTGATCACCTGCAATACTGGGATCAGGGCTTTGCTGGGGCGAGGGCGAAGTCGCCGCACGATGTCGTCAGGGATTTTTGCACGGTGTTTTCGGAGCCATCCCAGGCTCTTTATTGCGAGAAGCGGATGGCGAAGTTGGAGCCCGACACTACTAGCCTAGCCCCTGATCCAGCCGAAGTGTGCGAGAGGACGGAAGGCGAAGTTGGAGCCCGACATGATCATCTGCAATTCCGCGATCAGGGCATCCCTGGGGCGAAATCGCAACCCGACGTCGCCAGCGACTTTCGCACTGTTTTCTCGGAGCCATCCCAAGCACCTCTTTGCGAGAAGCGGACGGCGAAGTTGGAGCCCAACCCTACTAGCCTAGCCCTTGATCCAGCCAACGTGTGTGAGAAGAGGGAAGGCGAAGTTGGAATCCAATGCGATCAGCTACGATGCTGGGATCAGGGCATGGTAGAGTCAGATGAGAAGGGTTTTCTCCGTGAGTGAGCTGCCGAACATAACGAATTTGAACGTCATTTCAAGCCCAAGCCTTTCGTACGTCGTGTGGTTCATATTGCGTCGACATCGAAAGCCAGTATTGGGAGATGGGTTTCTTTTCAGCGTGGAGAGGGGCGCGCCCAACGTAAGGAATGGAAATGGGTACCTTCACAGGCCCGCTCGCCGACAGATAGCGGAGCCGAGGTTGGAGATTTTCTCTATGCACTCGGTGCAGCCATCGCATCAGCGTCGACGAGGTGAATCGCTCCCTTCGTTCGAGTGCCTTCTGAGGGAAGGCGGCACCGCGCCGAGCGGTCCCGATGTTACCGACACTGTCGCCATACCCGTAACCCCGTAACCCCTCCCCCCGTTTCGCCACTCCGAAGCTGCCCCCCCCCTCCCCTTGACCCCCCTCTGCCCCCCCTCTGCCGGAAGCTACCCCCCTCCCCTTCACCCCTTTGGTTCCAAAGGGGGGGGGGCTTAGCAGCCGCCCCCCCATCCCCCCCTTTCGGCACCCGGGAAGCTAGCCCCCCCTCCCCCCCTTACGAAGGGAGGGGGGGGCTTAGCTACCCCCCCGCTCCTCCCCTTGACCCCCCTCTGCGGGAAGCCCCCCCCCCCCTCACCCCTTCTCTCAATTTTTCTCCCCCCTGCCGGAAGCTCCCCTCCCCTCCCCCTTTCCAAAAGGGAAGGGGCGGCTTAGCTACCACCCCCCTCCCTTGAACTCCCCCTGCCGGACGATCCTCCCCCGTCGCCGTCATCGTTGCTGTCGCCGTCGCTCGACGTCTTTGTACGACGCCGTCGTCGTCCTCGTCGTCGTTGTCGCCGCAATCGCCGTCATTGTCGCCGTCTTCACATGACCTCGTCGTGGTCGTCACGACGAGGACGAGGTCATGCGAAGACGGCGACGGACGACGGACGACGGACGACGCACGACCGACGACCGACGACGACGACCCAGGGTCAGAGAAAACGAGACCACGACCCAGGGGCTGAGAAAACGAGGAAACGAAGCAGGGTCCGAGAAAACGAGACCACGGCCCAGGGGCCGAGAAAACGAGAAAACGAACCAGGGTCCAAAATAACGAACCAGGGTACGAGAAAAAGAAAAACCACGACCCAGGGGAAGAGAAAACGAGAAAACGAACCAGGGTCCAAAATAACGAACCAGGGTACACCGGGCGGTGTACGAGAAAAAGAAAAACCACGACCCAGGGGAAGAGAAAACGAGATAACGAACCAGGGTCCGATAAAACGAGACCACGACCCAGGGGCCGACAAAACGAGACAACGAGAAAACAAGCCAGTGCCCGAGAAAACGAAACCACGACCCAAGGACCGAGAAAACGAGACAACGAGAAAACTAACAAGGACCCGAGAAAGCGAGAACACAACCCAAGGGCCGAGATAACAAGAAAACGAGAAAACGAACCAGGGCCCGACAAAACGAAACAAAAGCCCAGAAGCCAAGAGAACGAGAGAACGAGACAATGAACCAAGGTCCGAGAAAACGAGATAACGACCCAGGGGCCGAGAACACGAGAAAACGATACAATGAAACAAACCAAGGTCCGAGCAAACGAGACCACGACCCAGGCCGAAAAAAACTGAATATCGGTCCTGGAAAACGAGAACACGACCCAGGAGCCCAGAAGACAAGGAAACGAGAAAACAAACCAGCGTCCGAGAAAACGACACCACGACCCAGAGGCCGAGAAACCAAGAAAACTAACCAAGGTCCGAGAAAACTGGACCACGACCCAGGCGCCGAGAAAACAAGAAACGAGAACACGAACCAGGGTCAGAGAAAACGGGACCACGACCCAGGGGCAGAGAGAACGAGAAAACGAACCAGGGACAGAGAAAGCAAAACCACGACCCAGGGGCCGAGAAATCGAGAAAACGAACCATGGCCCGAGAAAACCAAACCACAAGGGCCGAGAAACCGAGACCACGACCCAGGAGCCGAGAAAACGAGAAAACGAGAAAACGAACCAGCGTCCGAGAAAACGAAACCACGACCCAGGGGCCGAGAAAACGCGAAAACGATAAAACAAACCAGGGTCCGAGAAAACGAAACCACGACCCAGGGGCCGAGAAAACAAGAAACGATAACACGAACCAGGGTCAGAGAAAACGAGACCACGACCCAGGGGCCGAGAAAACGAAAAACAAGACAACGAACCAGGGGCCGAGAAAACGAAACAAAAACCCAGGGGCCGAGAAACCGAGAAAACGAACCGGGGCCCGAGAAACCGAGACCACGACCCAGGGGCCGAGAAAACGAGAAAACCAACCGGGGCCCGAGAAAACGACACCA